TCTCTCTCTCTCTCTCTCTCTCTCTCTCTCTCTCTCTCTCTCTCTCTCTCTCTCTCTCTCTCTCTCTCTCTCTCTCTCTCCCATTCTCCCGCATGACGTTGTTTTTTAGCATTCGTTTTCTATCTTTTTTAATTTTTGTGTACTTGAATTTTTTTTTTCCTTCTCTTTCTTCTCGTGGGGCTGTGTCGTACCGAAAGAAGCGGGGCCCGGCCTTCAAGCAGCGACCGGGGCTTCCCTTGGCCGACCCCCGAATGGCGCGGCGCGTATACGGGAAAGCGCCGCGGCCGGTAGCTGGGCCAAGTACTGGTGGTTTAATAGGTCAGGATGCTAGTCAGATCCCACAAATACCATGGAAAAAATTCAAGTCAATCCGCACGTCTTCTTTCCTTTCCCCGTCATATCTCCTCCAATTTCTCCCCTTGTCTAACAGCCCTGTCCAGTTTCAGAAGGCAGTGGAAGGCGCGCGCTCTGATTGGAAGAGGGAGAACACGGGACATCTGGAAGGCAAAAAAGAGAAAGGTAAGGTTGTGGTCCATCTGGAAGGAAAGGTGCTGCAGAACTTTTGAAGGCCGTGCACCCCCAAGGGAGAAGGTACGGGAGGAGGCAAGAACTTTGAGTCAAGCAGAGATCCTTGGTATATGGTAGTATGGTACAAAACGAGAAAGCCCATGCCTGACGATGAAGAACAGTAGAGGAGAATTAAAAGAAAATTCTACACAGAATGGATGGTAGGAGGCAAGGTGGCAACGCCGACTGACTTCCATATACGATGGAAAGACAGCTAAATTTTGATACGGGGTGGAAAAGACAAGTGCTCCAGGTACCAAAGGAACAAGTCCCACTGCAGGCCATATGAGCTGACGGGCTAAGATGGTTCGGATGATCCCATGCAAAACTTCAAAAGGAGGGTTTAGGGTTTAGGGTTTTGGGACCGCTTTGTAAATAGATTTAAGGAGAGGCAAGACGGTTTTGAGGCATACGGGCAGGTTTTCAAGGAGAGGTTACAACGGTCAGCTTGAGTAGCTGCTCAGCTCATTCTATTTTTTCACCATATATCTGGCAGGTTAGCTAACAGACCTGAGAGGAAAGAGAAAAGCTGACAGTCAATCCTCCACTACGTTGGAGTAATCATTGCTGTTCAGGGGTCCTTCGGCCAGACGGAAGGAAGCGTGTGTGCGTTATTGTTGTAATGCTTATTCAGACTTGCTGGTGGAAGGATAAGCTTCCAAGTATTCCGAGAAGGGAAAGAGGATATGGTGGTAAGAATGTAGCAAGAAGGAAAAAGGGTTTAGGGTTTAAGTAAATGGTACTATTTAACGAGTTTTTTAAGATTAAAAGACAGCATGGTCTAGGGTGTAGCATGTTGGGGCATTCCGCAGGGGTTTCAGTCCTTCCATTCATTTCAGCTCTCTTATTTCTTAAGTGCAACATGGGGATAGGATTGCCACTTCTTTTGGCTCCTGAATGTAACCTAGGGGTGGGTAGGTAGGTTCTTGCGTTTAGAGCTATTTTGTCTTCTGCTTATCCAGTTTTGTCTTTGTTCAGGAGTAGCATGTAGTTTGACAGGAGAAAGGGACACTGGACCCGGTTTCCAGTATGAGCCTAATCTGGGTAATGGCCCCAGTC